CTTGGAGATTGATGATTGTCCATCTCTAGTGTGCTTTCCTGAAGGCATATTACCATTTAGTCTTAAAACACTGAAAATTTGTGATTGCTCAAATCTGGAACCATTTTCAGAGCGGCTGCTGCACAACAATGCATCACTTGAATACATCTATATGCGGAACTATACAACTCTCAGAAGTTTGCCAGAATGCGTGTGTAGCCTCACACATCTGACTGAGTTAATTATAAGTAATTGTCCAGCTTTAATCTCCTTTCCAGAGACAGGCCTCTCACCCACTTTGAAAACCTTAGAAATCTATAGTTGTGCCAATCTAAAATCCCTACCTAAGAGGATGCAAAATCTTGCCTCTCTTCAATGTCTAACAGTTTGTGACTGTCCATGTCTTGAGTCGTTTCCCAAAGGGGGTTTGTCCCCTCAACTATTAGTACTGGAGATCTGGGATTGCATAAATTTGAAGGAGCCAATGTCAGAGTGGAACCTACACTCTCTAGCCTCTCTTAAAGAGCTCATCATTGTTGGTGCACCAGATACAGCTTCGTTCCCTGATGAAAAGTGTCTGCTTCCTACGACTCTCACTTCTATACTCATTTCTAGACTCAACAGTTTGGAATCTCTATCCACAGAACTACTAAACCTGACCTCTCTTGAAGAGCTAGAAGTCAACGATTGTCCAAAGCTTCAAGAGTTGCCAAGGGAAGGAATGCCTGCAACACTTGAAAAACTTTGTATCAGAAACTGTCAACTTCTACAACAACGATTAAAGAAGAAAGGAGCATATTGGCCGTTGATAGCCCGCATTCCTTGTATAGAAATAGATGGTATCTCTTCTTGTTTTCTGTTATGTTCGGATAAACTTTTGTTGGACTACTTAATTCTTGTTGTAATGGACTTTGCACTGCATTGGCAGATTGAACTCAAAAAAGACCCAGCAGTCAACCGTTGCAAGTGAGCTGTTTTTTGGTATCAAATTGTAGGAGGCTGGTGGTGATGGATTCAAGGAGGAGGAGAACCACAGAGCCCCTTACCTTCTCTCAGAGCTACTGTAAGATCATTGACTAGATTATGAATATATTGTAAGGTTAAATTAGTCACACAGTATCTTAATGTTAAATTGGTTACATAGATTTCTTATATTTTGACTCGTGCAAATTTAAACACATTTTCTCCATCAAACTTGGTGTTGCAGCACACTACATACAGAGGGAATAAAACACATTTTAGCTTGAACCCTGTTTTATGGTGCAGCTATACTTGTAGTCGAAATAACCTATCTTCCTTTTTACCTCAAAACACTTTACAGGTTTGTGGCATCATGTAATAACTTTGGTTTGCTGTTGGGTTTCTGCTAAGAGAAATTAAAGACTCCAAACAAGTTGCATAATTACTGTCTATATTGCTATACCCTGCTGATACCATTTTATACTCAAGATATGCTAAACAAGAACTTTGAACTAGACAAAAGGAGAGATTTGTTCGTGACAGTTGAGAATACCATAGTTGTTAAACTACGTACGATCAGTTTCCAGTTTGTAAATCTCATCTTAAATCCTTCAGGCCTCCATTCACTTCTAGCTAATGTAACCTTACGCTTCTGCAGTTTTCAACATCTCATTTGCAGTCCGTTGTTGTTGTTGGCATTTTCCTCTCTGCTGTTTTGTTTGTTGTTGTTGGCATGCAAGTCTAGAGAAAGTTTGGGGGAAAGATACAATGCATGTTTAGCAGCTTAAACTGGAGGACCACATTTTAGGGAATGGGTAAGTCATCTTCAGCTCCCTAAAATAGCATTTGGAACTTTCAAATGCTATATTACCCCTTTTTTTTCCTTTCCCTGGCAACAATAAAAACTGTTTGCTTGGCAGTTGGGTCTTCCCTCTGGTATCACAGTTGAATGAATGTCTGGACCGTATGATAGAAACTCATCCAAAACGCTTAAATAGAAAGCAACTGTCTCCTCAGCCGCCTGCTGTCTACTTTAGGCCAAGAGTTCCAGCAAGAACCAAAGCAATGCGTATTCTACGTATCGTAATTCTTTTGCATGTTTCAGAGCCGAGCTGGCATCCAAGCACTGGCAGCATCTTCCTTGAGCTCGAGGATTTCCAACTTCTGAACAACGGATGACACTAACCATTTGTACACATACTTGGTACTTGTATCAGCAAATAAACTGTATGGTTGAATTTGTTCGAGAGAGAGTTACAAGATTGGATAATCCTTACCTCTTTAGGGACGTTCTTCTACCTAACCTTATGCTTACCTCAGAGTTTGGAAGAGAGAACTCTGCAGTTTTGAC